CATACATCCATTCATCCATCCATCCATGCATCCATCCATCCATCCATCCATCCAATCATCTATCATCCATCCATCCACCATCCATCTATCCATCCATTTATCCATCCATCCATCCAACATCCATCCCTCCATCCACCCAGTTTCTTTACATGCTTTTGCGATATATTGGATTTGCACATTTTGAAATTTAAACATAGAGTACTAACTACATTTGTTTTTATTCTGTATTTTGTTTGATTTTCTTTGTTTGGGCCTTCATGTTCTCTGACATACACCATCAGGTGCTGAAACATCCATCATGCTCCTATTTTCCATGGTCTTAGTGGCTCTTCTAGAGTCCACAAAGGTCTATAATGATGATTTTATTTCCTGTAATCAGAGGTAGATTTTGTGGCCTAAAGCAAATTACAGACATGTCACTTCAGTTTTTTTCAGCCCTTGTTTTTCTTGGATCTACTTATAACTTAATGTAGTTTATTGCTCCATCCAAGTCTTGCTGCCATGTCATTTTTACAACTGTATTTTTTGAGTCATATTTTAAGAGTAGTAGCTTCTTGAACTATAGCTGTAGATGTTTTTTCATGTTTTGTGACAGATTGGGTAAAGTATGTTCAGCCATCCTTTTACGCTGTCTGAAGAGCTGAAACAGCTAAAGGCCTCCTATTATTTAATCCAGCTTCCCCTTATCCCCTTTAAAGCACAATAAAAACACATTCTTTTTTTTAAGCCGGTTGTTTTTGTCTGGTTTTTATTTGTATGCAAGATATTTTGGCCTATACGTTTCATAAAACATACATTTAATTTAATTTCAACACAAACTAGAATTGTCCATTTTTGCAAGCTGGTATTGCTATATTAAAGTTTCTTTTTCTGTTTCAGCCTGTGAATGGTGGCTCAACATGGTTTGTTGCTTCAACCATGAGGCCAAGTCTTCCCTCCTTGTCCACTCTCCCCAGATTTAGTTTCAAACGTGTCTTTCTTTTTATAGCTCCGCTCAGAACGGCTGTGCAGATGAGCTGGACGGCACAAATAGACACGTGTGACGAATAACATGAACGCTTGTTGCTGCTGGTTTGAAATGAACTCGCTCACATTGCCACTCCCCTTATATCTACTCCCAACAGGTGAACTTCACTGTGGATCAGATCCGTGCCATCATGGACAAAAAGTCCAACATCAGAAATATGTCGGTCATAGCCCACGTGGACCATGGGAAGTCCACGCTGACCGACTCACTGGTGTCCAAGGCGGGGATCATCGCCTCAGCTCGGGCTGGAGAGACGCGCTTCACAGACACGCGCAAAGACGAGCAGGAGCGCTGCATCACCATAAAATCCACGTACGTGGCTCCAGGAGCTGGGCCAAGATGGCTCAGCTCTCCATTTGTTGTGCAGTTTGACACAAAGGCCCAAAACACGACTCCAAATCATGAATATTCTCTACTAACCAAATAATAGCTCATTTTAATATAATACTTAGGTACTAAACCATAAAAATTGTATAATCTGTTTCTTCAGCACCAATTAAGTGGGATTTTAGGTTCACGAGTTAACAACTACACAGACCATACCTAGTTATAAATCAACAGATAAAGCAGATACCCATTAAAAATGGCAGAAAATATTCTGTTGATTAGTTAATATACAACTTAAAAATTACTACCCTTTAATTTTAAAACCTCATTGCATTCACTGAATCAGCTTCAGGACATTTTCCAGTTTAACTCGTGAATAAAAAGCAGGTACTCTACAAGTTTAAGACACATTTTATTGTTACAACATCTCATATTTCTACAAAACAATATCCAGTTCCCTTATAAAAATGAAACATCTTAGTTTGAAATTAATTTCAACTTTGAACTTTATTGAAAACAAGCAATCAAACGGTGAAACAGAATGTGCAACGTTTAAAAAAACCTGGGTGTGTGTTATCAGCAGCACATTTCAAAACAGTTGGCAGAGGGGCGTGTTTATCACCAAGAGTTGCATCATCACGTCTATAAATAACCCGCAGATGTTAACAGGTCTGTAATTGAAGCTTTAAAAGGGAAACGTTTGCTTGATAAAGAATTCCAGCAGGATGATTTTTATTTTTTTCATTCGTAATGCACCAGATGTGTTCACCTGTTGTCAAGTCTGGACTGAAAGTAGGCCAGTTTAGCCCTGCAGACTCCTTGCTGCTGCTGGAGCCATGCACATGTAACACCTGCAGAAATATCGTTGATAAAAATAAGCATTTGTTGTTCTAAAACCTCGAAAAATGATCTCTGCCGCAGTCGCAGCAGATCATAAAACTGGTAGAGGAGATCTTCAAAAATTTAATTTACTTTAAAATGATTACAACAGCTTGTTTGGCTGTGACTGTTAGAAAGAGATGAAATAATAAGCAGCTAAAAATGTATAAAATGGCTGACGAGGCTCAATGTTTGTACAGTTTGGACAGTCAGTCATGAGTCTGTGGTTTATATTTTGAACATCAAAGGCGAAAAAGTTTTACACTAAAACAGGGCTGTTCAACTGGCGGCTCATGGGCCAAATCGGGCCCATGGGTGAACTCAGTTCGGCCCACCAATGAGTTCATCTTCAAATAAAATAAAGCAAACTTTCTTAATGACAATAACTGCTGGACGTCCAGCCCCTGAGCTCTTGGCTTTCAGTAACTGTGGCCTCTGAGCAGTTGAGTTGAACAGCTCTGCGCCATCATCAACAAGCTTGTCATCACTCAATGAAGCATCCATGATTTCTAAATGGAATTTAAAATGTCTAATTATTGGCACCAAAGAGCAATCAGTCACCTCAGTTTACCTTAAATCACTTTGATCCCAGAGGATATGGTGGAATTTAAAATATAATATAAATATGGAATATAAGTAGTTGTGTTTAAAATCTGTTTATTATCAAAGATAACTAAAATTCACAAACTGTTCAGAATTTCACAGAATTTCATATTTGAATTGAACTAATTTTCTTTAACTTCTTGTTACGAAGCTGTGAACCCCTCCTCACTTTATTTATTTAGTTTTTTGGTTTTTTTTACTTACGAATGATAAACCCTCTCTGAAATTCTCTTAATTTTTTAGCCTCATTCTTGGTTATTTTACCCAAGATGATTTTTATTATTTTTAAACATGAGGTGAAAATTGAATTGAATAATCAACGTGTTTTCAAAAGATAAATATATTTCTTAACAGTCTGTGTTCTGTACAGCATTCAAGCCTAATAATAGTAATCAGTAATATTTTATAAATGCTGCTATCTAATTTTGACAGCGTTCTCATTGGGAAGATTTATAAACCACACAAGTTTAGTTTTATTTGCTGGTTGATTGTAAAGCTAAACCCACTTAATAAAGTCCTCAGCAAAAAGTTTGTGATGATAAAGTATAAATCGGTGTTAAGAAAATCATATAACCCTCTGTCTATTTGTCTAATTATGTGTTAAGTTGGTGTTTAATGAAGACGCCAGATTAATCTAATTGTATTAACTGTTCCAACATTTATGCTAATTCATTTCACGGAGTATTTACTTCCAATAACACACGTTTTCAGTACCATATTTTTCAAACTATATTGCACACTTACAATCCTTGAATTTTCTCAAAAATTGACAGTGAGCCTTATAATCTGGTGCACCTTATGTATGAATTATGATTGTGCTTACTGACCTCGAACCGATTTTATCTAGTTATTGTGAATGAGTTGAATAAAGTTTGACTTCCCTGACTGTTTTGTTTCTCTTAATGTGCCTTATAATTAGAAAAATTAGAAAGAGTTATTCATTTTGTTCTGTTACTTGAAAACTATTATGATTGAAATAATTGTTTGAAAAAAGGGGCAGATATAATAAGATTTTTTCTTCTTTCTGCTGCCTTTCATTTTAAATCTTTTGTATCTTTCTTTATATTGTTAAGGAATTGTTTTGTACCTTTTTAAAATGAATAAACTTTATACCACACCATACCATAATCCAAAAAATATGGTAACTAATATGAAGGATTTCTTTCTTTGTTGTAACCAGTTGAAACCCAGTTGTATTCTTTAGTTTTACTGGTGAAAATGAGTCTTAACTGTATAATTAATATGTCTCCAGGTACTCATTGTTCTCTCTGTTTGTGACTCAGAGCCATCTCCTTGTATTATGAACTTGGAGACAATGACTTGGCCTTCATCAAGCAAAGTAAAGATGGAAACGGCTTCCTCATTAACCTGATTGACTCTCCGGGTCACGTTGATTTCTCCTCTGAGGTCACCGCCGCCCTCAGAGTAACTGACGGAGCCCTGGTTGTGGTCGACTGTGTCTCAGGTCATTGCATCACAAGGAACGCCCCCAAACACATTGTCCTTTTTTCTCTTTTTGCAAAGGCTCAACCAGTTCTTTTCCCCTGACAGGTGTGTGCGTGCAGACTGAGACCGTGCTGCGGCAGGCCATCGCTGAGCGCATCAAACCAGTTCTGATGATGAACAAGATGGACCGGGCCCTGCTGGAGCTGCAGCTGGAGACAGATGAGCTTTACCAGACATTTCAGCGTATTGTTGAGAATGTCAATGTTATAATCTCCACCTACGGAGAAGATGAGGGCGGACCCATGGGAAACATCATGGTGAAGCACATACTTAAAAGATTTGGAATATTTGGATGGGACGTCATGGTTTTAACTGTGAGAAAACTGTTTATTCTCAGATCGACCCTGTTGTTGGTACCGTTGGCTTCGGCTCCGGCCTCCATGGCTGGGCTTTCACACTGAAGCAGTTTGCTGAGATGTATGTGGCCAAGTTCACAGCTAAAGGTGTGGCTCAGCTGGGACCAGCAGAGAAGTGCAAGAAGGTGGAGGACATGATGAAGAAGCTGTGGGGAGACAGGTGAACAGTACTGCAGATACACACTGTGCGGTCACCCACATGGCCCAGAGTGAAAAACAGGGACAGCTTGTTGGTTGGTTTCAAGTCCAACATCAACTATTATAGTCCCAAGAGCTCTTACAGGGTAACCACTGTCGTAGAATACAATGGTTCTGTTAATAAATGTTGAAAAAACATTAAAAACACCTGAGCACATGGTAGATCATTAATTAAGACTGATGATGTCATGCCAGGGCACAAGTGGGAGAGTCTCGCTCTGTGCTCTCTTTCTCTTTCTTCTTCTAAAACAAATAATGGATCTCCCACATCTTGGTCAAAGTCTTCACTGTCTCTGACTCTGTTTTTCTTTTTCATCTCTGCCTCTTTTGTCTGAGAAGTGTCTGACTCCGCAGCTCGGTTCATTTCTGGGTTCGTGGCTCCAACCCCCACCTCAAACAGAAGTTGCAGCTTCACGTTCAAAAAATCTCCTCATTGTTTTTAACTCGAACACTAAAACTGACTAATGAACACAACACACTACACCCTAATTATAAAATCCGTCCTCTTCTTTCACCTTTTCCCTCTTCAGGGGTCTCCACAGTGAGTCATCCTCCTCCATCTCACTCTGTCCTCTACATCCTCCGTCTTCACTCCATCTACCTCCATGTCCTCTCTTAACAGCATCCATACATCTTCTCTTTGTCTTTTTCCTGGCAGCTGCATTTCTAACATCCTTCTACCAATATACCCACTGTCCCTCCTCTGGACATGTCCAAACCATCTCAGTCTGGCCTCTCTAACTTTATCTCCCAGTTGTTCAACCTGTGCTGTACCTCTGATGATCTCATTCCTAATCTTATCCATCCCTGTCACTCCCAAGGAGAACCTCAACATCATTTCTGCCACTTCCAGTCCTTTCTTCTGTCTTTTTGTCAATGCCACTGTCTCCAGACCATACAACATAGCTGGTTTCTCCTGCATTTCTGAAATCCATCTGAGGGTTACTTGTGGTTTTAAGGAACTGAGTTATTTGCAGATGCTCCTGCTTAATGGCACACCATTAGTGAGCTTGGATATTTAGCTGAGTCAGGCACAGCCACAGGACTCCTGTAAGGAGACGAACAAAGATATTTAATCACACGAAATAGGTTCAGGTTTCTCTTCATGTTTTAGAGTAAGAATATTTCCGCAATGCCAAGAATAATAAAAAAAAATGCTTTATGAATGGAAACATCAATTATAGATCAAGCTACTAGAACCTCTGACTTTAACGTTTTTCAGGCAGATATATTTAATACATACAACATGATTAGGAGCTACATGTCAACATTATCATTGATGTCTTTGTTTCTTCTAGATATTTTGATCCCAGTGCCGGCAAGTTCAGTAAGACTGCCAACGGCCCTGATGGTCAGAAGTTACCTCGTACCTTTTGCCAGCTTGTTTTGGATCCTATTTTTAAGGTGAAACCCCAATGCAATCTGAAATTTAAGAAGAGCTTTGCAGCTTTTTTTAAGCTCCTATTAGAAATTAGTGGCTCATTGCAAAACATAATAAATGTCTTGTGGAGTCAGAACCAACAAAAATTAACTTACTGAAGCTATTGTCTTGGAGCAAATGACTTACGTTTGCCATTTCTCTACTCTTTCAGGTGTTCGATGCTATCATGAATTTCAAAAAGGAAGAAACAGCCAAACTTATCGAAAAGCTGGACGTCAAGCTGGACTCCGAGGACAAGGAGAAAGAGGGCAAGCCTCTGCTCAAGGCTGTGATGCGTCGCTGGCTACCTGCTGGAGAAGCCTTGCTCCAGATGATCACCATCCACCTGCCCTCGCCCGTCACTGCACAGAAATACCGCTGTGAGCTTCTCTACGAAGGGCCGGGAGACGACGAAGCTGCCATGGGTCAGTAGAAAACCCTCTCTCACACTATCAGACATTAAATTATCATCATTAGCTCTTTGAAACTTGAATAATCTTGAGCTATTTCAGTGTTGAGTCTTATATCTTCGTCTTATTTCTCAGGTATTAAGAACTGCGATCCCAAGGCTCCTTTAATTATGTATATTTCGAAGATGGTCCCGACAAGCGACAAGGGGCGTTTCTATGCCTTTGGCCGTGTGTTTTCTGGCAGTGTGTCCACAGGCTTGAAGGTGCGCATCATGGGGCCAAACTTCACTCCTGGCAAAAAGGAGGACCTCTACATCAAACCTATTCAGAGGTGAGTATGTTTGCTCACAGACTTCTGATTCTCTCTTTTCCCTTTAGCTTTTATGCATTTGTTGACAGCTTTCCATCATTGTGACCCTGCAGGACCATTCTGATGATGGGTCGATATGTGGAGCCTATTGAAGATGTTCCTTGTGGCAACATAGTGGGTCTAGTTGGTGTTGATCAGTTCTTGGTTAAGACAGGAACAATTACCACCTTTGAACAGGTAGGGAACTGATTTTCTTCTCTCTATGGGCCAAAAAGAGAGTTTTGTACTACACTGAAAAATAAGAGCAATTATTAATTTTCTCTTGTTGGCTGTCTGGTGAAACAACCCAAGAAGAATCATGTGACTCTGTCTGCAGGCCCACAACATGAGGGTGATGAAGTTCAGTGTGAGTCCCGTGGTCCGAGTCGCTGTTGAGGCCAAGAATCCTGCTGATTTGCCCAAACTGGTGGAGGGCCTGAAGCGCCTGGCCAAGTCTGACCCCATGGTTCAGTGCATCATCGAGGAGTCCGGGGAGCACATCATCGCTGGAGCAGGAGAACTGCACCTGGAGATCTGCCTTAAAGACTTGGAGGAGGACCATGCCTGCATTCCACTGAAGGTGAGAAGAGGATTTTTTAAAATTTTGAAATACAGGTTAGGGACAAGGCAAGACACGGTTACAAACATAAGTTTAAGATCAATTTGAATTTTATCATGAAAAAAACTGCTATAACATTTTTGATTTATTTTATTTTATTAAATACAACAATTTCCTGAACTTTGTAAAAATATTTTCAAATGTTCTCACAGCACCGTTTGAAATTTTTTTCATTGGAAGTAAGTTAAGAATATTGAATTACATAAATGGTTAAATACTTAACACGATAGTGCAGATCTTTCAAAGTGGGGTTCTGTGGAGAATCTATAAACAAACAGTATGTTACTTGTTGTAGATAACTCTTAATTCAGACCAGATCAACGAGCTAAGAACTAGTCCGATCGAGACCAAGAACTAAGAATTGCTGTTGTCTTACATGAGGGTGATGAAGTTCATCCACTCTGGAACAAGTTTATAAATATGTAAAAAAAAAAAAAATTATTATTATAATTTCAGAAATGGAGTTTTAGGATCCCCCCAAACTTTATTTTTGGAAAACACATTTCAGAGTAAAAAAAAATCAATAAATTTTGAAGCACCATCCTTACGTTTGTGTGTGTTGACACCAAAAACACAATTTTTTGAAAACGATGTCATAATCCTACCTCTAATCTGAACTACGACCTTCTTATTTTTTGTGTATGTTTTCATTTTGCTCCCAGCATGCAAACTTTGCGTTCATGCGCCTCATCTTGTTTCCTGTTTTTGGTGTAATTTTGTGGCAGCATTACAGCACCACATACAGGCCTGACTTAGTTATTACAGTGTTTGGGGTTGTTTTCAGTGCGGATGGAAGTGTCATGTGGACAAGACCTTTATAAAAACTCCAATCTCAAAAATGTTGCAGTTTATGTGACTTCTGTAGAATAAATATTTGCATTGCTGTTAGTTTCACATTTTATGGTTCTTCAGTCAGAAATATTACTATATTTCTGCAGGAAGTTCCCAAAGCTGCAACATAAGTGCTACAACTAGCTGCTGCTGCGTGTGCTTGAAGATAACCTTAGAATTATATATAAATAACCAAGTAATTCAAATTTGATGATGATGTAAAAGTTCATAATACAGCTTTTGCATCAACTGCTAAGAGATTTTTGAGATTGCAGAAGTTTGTAGATAACAAGATGGTCGGTCCTGCCTGCTTGGATTACCCATTAGTTTGTCAAACTAAGGTTTCTCCAAACTGAGGTGATTCAAAGAGCTTTTTACAACAGATATTATTTGTTCGTAACCATTCCATATAACCCTTTAACTTAGATATACATAGTTTTGCTCAGGTTTAAATAGAACATGCCATTCTTTTCTGGGGGGGTGCTCCTTTCTTCTAGTTTCTAGTTTCACCTATAGGCATCAGCACACCAGTCAGATGAGACAGGTCTTTTTGGGACAGGGACTTTAACCCCTAGTCATCACCGAAAAGTTTAAACTTGCAAATCAGCATCAATAGGGTGCTTTAACATGTGCATGCAATGCTGCAAACCATTGTCTCACTTCTGATCATCTTCGTTTCCTCTTTCTAGAAATCAGACCCGGTGGTCTCCTACAGAGAGACAGTGATGGAGGAATCAGACCAGATGTGTCTGTCCAAGTCTCCCAACAAGCACAATCGTCTCTTCATGAAGTCCCGCCCGTTCCCAGATGGACTTGCTGAAGATATTGAGAAAGGGGAAGTCAGTGCTCGGCAGGAGCTCAAGGCTCGTGCCCGCTACCTCGCCGACAAGTACGAGTGGGAGGTGACGGAGGCCAGGAAGATCTGGTGTTTTGGTCCAGACGGAACTGGATCCAACCTGCTGATGGACGTAACAAAGGGGGTCCAGTACCTCAATGAAATCAAGGACAGTGTTGTGGCTGGTTTCCAGTGGGCAACTAAAGAGGTGGGTGGTTCATCTTTTCTGACAGGTGTGTTTTAAATTAGCTCTACGTCACCATGCGATGCATATTTTTCTGAGAATTGTTTCTGTCTTCAACCCTCAGGGTGCACTGTGTGAAGAAAACATGCGCGCAATCCGCTTCGACATCCATGACGTCACACTACACGCAGACGCTATCCACCGGGGTGGAGGACAGATTATTCCCACAGCTCGTAGAGTCCTTTATGCGTGCCAGCTCACTGCACAGCCTCGACTCATGGAGCCCGTCTATCTCGTGGAGATACAGGTTTGTGTGTGGAGACAAATCGTCTCAACGAAAATTTGAGAAAAGCCCTGAATTATCAAGAAAGCTTCAATAACTGGCTTGGAATCGCTTTTAAGTAGTTGCACAGATTTTGCGAGTAAAAAAAAGCTACATCTGAAAAAATGTACACTAGTTTAAACATTTAATGTCTTTGAAAAACTGAACCATCTCATAAGAAAAGTTCAAATAAAAAAAAATCAGCTGGGTTAATTTACCTGAAAGGCCTTTTGCTTCCTTCAATAGTTTATTTATTTTGGACTTTGAAATCAGCTCATTACTAGTTAGGTCATATATCAGAATCAGAATAAGCTTTATTATCGTTGTGCTGAGATACATTGATAATATGTCCGTACAGTCGTCCGAAAGATGGACGGAGTGCACGTAGCTTCTGCTCTTTAAGAGCGCGGTCTTCTTATCCTTTTCAGAATACTTTTTTTTTAGATAGAAAAAGGGACAAAGCCATGAGGAGAGGATTACAAAAAAGATCTCTTCACACCTTGTCCTAACAGACACAATTTAAGACATAAAAAACTGCCAGCAAACACATTTATGAACACGTTACATATGCATCTGACGACGAGGCGGTCCATGAAGCACTAACAGATAGACCATAGTCCTGATAAGATGATGGTCAGCCGGCACAGTTCTGATAAGCCTCCACAGAAGTTGTGTGTGTGTGTGTGTGTGTGGGGGGGGGGGGGTTGCGATAAACGAAGCTTTTCCTTAGTTTACACATTTCCCAGGAGAAATTGATATGTCAGCCTGTTTCGAGGCCAACCGGGGAATCAGATTCAGATAATCCTCAATTGTTGATGTATTCAGGCAGACTATTTTCCTTGAGTCTGTACTGATACTTCCAAGATCCGAAATGACCAGATTTGGGTGCAGTCTACTGGTCCGTGCTTACGAGCCTCTTCAAGGTTGTTTCCTGCTGATGAGTCCCAAAGCCGCAGGTGGCCTGCAGTTCAAATCACTTCCAACTTACGGTTTAGCTCGTAAACCAGCTGATTTTGAGTCTTCAAAGCACGAACCAAACCTTCACATAGACAGTAGCCTGTCGAGGGCCAAATTAGCTGCAGCCATCTTCTTTATATGTTGATAAACCAGGATCCAGACTATTCCAAAAACAAGGAACCTGTTATCATAAATCCAGTTATGTGCAATTTCAGAATCCTTGATCGACAGCAGAGATAGACACATCACATTCCACTTCTCCAGAGATATATCCAGCTGCACGTGTTTTCCAGGCAGACCTGAGGGTTCTCCAGGACCCTGTCACTTTGTTGAAAAGATTTTATCATTTGCATCGAAAGTCCATTTGATCAGGTCCATATTTCGGAAGATTTGTAAAAATATGAGCTCCGATGCACAGACAGAGAGCAAAAAAATCAGGAGGAGAACAGGGAGAGGGAAGAGAAAGTGTGCGCCTCGTACCAGAGCAAGTGAGAAAAAAATATAGACCATATAGATTACGTTTTTAGTAAAACACAACTTTAAAAACCTAGCATTTATTGAAATGCACATTTTCTCATGAGATTTAGACTAAGATCCTCTTATGCCTATGGCTTGTAATGTTATTATATACAGCTCACATATATGATACTGTATATGTTATTAGTGGGGACAATAGATAATCCAAGAACAAACATTTTAGTGTTGATACCAGCTGTTGTTTTGAGTATTGTGCATCCACCTTTTAATCTCAAAAACACGTTTGTGTATAACTTTTACCGTGTCTGCTGTCCGTGCAGTGCCCAGAGGCGGTGGTTGGTGGCATCTACGGCGTGCTGAACAGGAAACGTGGGCACGTGTTCGAGGAATCCCACGTGATGGGAACACCCATGTTTGTGGTGAAAGCCTACCTGCCCGTCAACGAATCCTTCGGTGAGTTATTTTAGTTTGTACTGCATAATTAGTTGTGTCTTTATGCAGATGTTTTGCTTTTGAGTGTGTAACATATTTGTTCATTGGATTTTAAGTATTAGTGTCATTTAAGGAAATATCAAAACATTTCTAATTTAATAAAATGCTTTATAAATTAGTATTTAGCAAGCAAAAGAAGACTTTGGTAGGAAAAAGGCACTTTATTAAAACTATATATTTTCTTGTGTTTTATTTTCTTCAGGGTTCACAGCTGACCTGCGCAGCAACACTGGAGGCCAGGCCTTCCCTCAGTGTGTATTCGACCACTGGCAGATTCTCCAGGGAGACCCCAGTGACCCCAACACCAAACCCTTCCAAGTTGTCAATGATATTAGAAAACGCAAAGGTCTAAAAGAAGGCATACCTGCTCTAGATAACTACTTGGACAAATTGTAAACACTTATCCCGGATCATAAAGTACCAAATCAGTACCAAACCCTACCCATCGGGCACTTTAAAACCTTTGCACAGGCTTACAGATACATCGCACAAGTTGATTTGACTTTGAGTCCAAAGTAGAAATGAGGAGAGCAGCGCTGCTTTTTAAAAAATAATTATTTCATTTCCACCGCTACAGTACACCAAGTGCCTGGGGTAGGGGGTTTGGAAAACAATTGGATCAAAGCAATTATTCCTCATTTCTTCTATTCCTTCACATCAGCCCACCTTTCCTTCCACTCATCTGCCAAGATGGGCCTGTTAATTGCACTGTGATACTGCTGCAATAATGCTTGTTTCAACGGATTATAGCCAGAAATCACAATAAAGTGTTACAGAAGATAAACTTACTGGATTGGACTTTTGTTCAGTGGATGTGACAAATAAAAAAAAAAAATCAAACCATGACAAATAGACTCCAACATTTATTTTATTTTTGTTTTCCTTTAGAGTTTGGGGTGGAACTCATTATTTTTTTGTTGGCTGTGAGTTATATAGTCTGGTTATTACCAGTCTACTACCTGATCATTTACAGAGAAATATTTTGTTGGTTTGTTTAACTTCGACCTATGACTCATTCAAGCATAGAACATGTCTGAAACTCAAAAATGTATAAATGTTGTATCAACATATAACTGACAATTTAACTAAAACTATTTAAATGGGACATTTACACACTTTGTTACCAGCAGTATGTCACAAAGACATACTTTGTTCTTATATTTTCAGTTAAATTTATGAAAAATATTACACCATTTGACATAAAATAGTATTTGAGCACCAATAAGACAATTTCCAAAGAGCTGGTACAAGGTAGTGGATAAAAAAATGAGTGAAAAAGCAGCCAAAGTCCAACGAAAAATGTTTGAAGTTCTTTAGAAAGCCAGAACATGCTCAAAGATTAAAAGAAAGTTTGGCCTTTTAGAAGCAAAAGGTTCCAGAAAATTTGGAGTTGAATTTGTAGAGAAAAAATATTCTGCTCAATTTACTCATAAATTTCTTTACCTCTGTTGTATAATTATTTTAAATAGAGTTACTGGCAGCTCTTGGTTGCTACATTCGCCTCTGTGATTCAACAAGCTTTTGTTGGAAACAATAAAAAAGTAGATTTATGTTATTTGCTTCAGCTATCATTTTTCTTGGTGCTGTTTTTACTGATTGGTTGGTTGTAAAATAGTATATTAAAAATACTATATATTATTTACTGTGGACTATATTAAAGTCATTCATGCTCAGACTGAAATATGCATGAGTTTAAGTTGCCACAGTAAATGTCAGTTTTCAGCGCTTTACCTAATCATTTATTTTTTTAAAGCAGCACCTGTTAAATATCACAGATACAAAATAATAACAATAATAACTTGGACAATATGGTGACATTTAACACTGTTCTTCTCAGGACTGAACACTGGCTGTGACCTAAAAGATATTTAGGAAATACTGCAATAAAAGTGACGATGCTTAAAAAAATTATATTAATGAACCACTTTGGAAGACTCATTTTGAAAAAAACATAAAACAATGAGAGCATCTTTGTTGAATAGTCAGTCGTATTAAAATACAACTTGTCTGCATCAAGAAGCAAAGCAAACAGATGTAAATAGACTAGTGTTGTATGGGAAGCCAAATTGGAATAATCAAATTCTCCCAAAACAAAATGAAGATTCGGTTGACTAAACATTTTTTCTAACAGCAGATTTAATTTTCCTGCGAGCTTCTTTGCATCAATGAGATGTTTCCCAATACAGAATTCCCCACTTGATGAAATTTTTGTGTATGGAGGTAAATGCCAATCAAACACTAAGTTGAGAACCTCTGGCTAATAAACAGCTGTACTTGTAAAAACAATTTATTCATGAATGCAGCTCATATAGATGATAGTGTATTGCATAAAGTGTGATTATTTTATTAATTAATGCAACAGTTTGAAGGATGTGCTATAATATCTATCTATCTATCTATCTATATCTATCTATCTATCTATCTATCTATCTATCTAATCTATCTACATGATTTAGCGGAGATCAACAAAATTACTTTTTATTGTGAATAAGAAAAAATAAGGTATTTTATGATCTTCATTAGGGCAGCATGGTGGCGCAACTGGTAGATCTGCTGCCTCTCAGAGAGCAGGTCCTTGGTTCAAACCCCGGTCCAGGGGCCTTTCTGGGTGGAGTTTGCATGTTCTCTCTGTGCATGCGTGGGTTTTCTCCGGGTACTCCGGTTGATTAATTGAAATAATTATTCAACTTGAGCAGAGGTTGAATAGAGGATGTACCATTGTGTCTTAGGTGGAAGTAAATTTGACAGTCATCAGCATAGAAGTGGAAGGGCATGTTGTGTTTCCGGAAAATAGCACCAAGCGGCAGCAGGTATAAAGAGAATAGGAGGGGACCCAGGATGGACCCCTGCGGAACCCCCCATTTAAGCTCTGCCTTAGCGGAACTAAAATCCTTGATGGAGACACAAAAGGATTTGTCAGCGAGGTAAGATCTGAACCAATTGAGGGCTGATCCTGTGACGCCCACCCACTGCTCCAACCTAGCAATGAGGATCTCATGGTCGATGGTGTCGAAGGCAACTGTGAGGTCCAACAGGACAAGCAGCACAGAATCACCGGTATCTGTGAATCTGAAGATGTCATTAAAGACCTTCAGCAGGGCAGTTTCAGTGCTGTGGAGAGGTTTAAAGCCAGATTGGAATAGCTCCAAGATGACGTGATCCTCCAGGAAGCACTTCAACTGGGACTCAACTATTTTCTCCAGTACTTTAGAAACAAATGGGAGTTTGGAGACAGGCCGGAAGTTGGAAACGAGTGAGGGGTCAAGGTTTGTTTTTTTCAGGAGAGGCTGGACGGCAAAAATAAATAAATAAATAAAATAAATAAATAAATAAAAACTGTAGTATGCTTTTCTTATAACTGTTTATTGTTGTTGCTGTTGTCCATTGTTGTCATCTTTCTTTGTTGAAATCAGGTCTCTCTTGTAAATGAGTCCTCGAGGCTCAATGGGATTTACCTGTCTAAATAAAGGTTGATTGATGTTTTAAGGATTTTGGCACCACGCCAGTGGATAAACTACTGTTTACTATAGCAAGAATGGACGGACCTAGAGTAGGAAAAACCTACTTTAGTAGTCGAGGGGGGACCACATCAAAGGGGGAGCCAGAAGGTTTCAAGTTGCACATGACCTGCTCAAGAGAAGATAGAGTGATGGGTTCAAAATGACTAACAAACATTAAAGAGATCAATCTCAGGATACCATACAGATCAGAAGAGTGCACACTGGTTAGCCACTGTTCATTCCAAACTGTATTTATTCCACAAGTTTTATTGTTTTATGTGAGGTTTTTCTTAAACTTTATTAACAGATTCACATGATCCTGGGAGAACAAACTGCGTTGGGCTGTAATTACGGCAGTTTTCCTCTTAAACAGCAGGTGGCGCTAAACAAACAATAATACCGCTACACAGCAGCAATGACCCCAGAAGAAGTGATACAGGAAGTGTATTCCATACACAAAATTAATTAAATGTTTACAACTTGAATGCTTTACCTCTAGGCAGATATATTGTTCGTAAAACTCCGAGTAAACATTTTAAAGTTGGTATTTTAGATCCAGCACTGTTTTAAAGCGCTCTGGGTGATTTTTTTTATTTATTTATTTATTTTTTTTTATCAGACTGGACAGGAAGGAAACTGTCCGGTCGCTTTTATTTCCCTGCCCCACAGTCAGCTGACACTTGTCTGCAAACAGAGCCGTCCTCTTTGGTGTCGCAGCTCTCCCCACGATGGATGAACACGACGACAGCGACATAATAGAGCACCACGTTGAGGAGGAGATGGAGAAGAGAGGGGTGTTCGTGGAAAGTCCGTCCGACAGAGAGGCCCACTCCAGCACCCAGTCCTCCCACAGACTGCTGGCCTTCAGCGACGCCCTCATCTCCATCATCGCTACTGTCATGGTGCGACCTAAACATGGTGCAGAGCAGACAACTGGTGGTATGGGTTAAAGAAATGACATGACTCAGGCTTTAAATTGGAGTGAGATTGAGTTTTAATCATCTTTAAACAAAAGCATCATTAATTAACAGAATAAACACATTTTATTACCTTCAGCGTGTCATAAGCAAGGTTTTTGCTACAGCTTGTAAATATGAGGACAGTGTAAGATTGATTTGATCCAACAGGAAATTTTGTCACAGCTATTTGTTGTTTAAAAGTACAGCAACGTTTAGGGTGCTTTCATTAAAAAAAAAAAAAACATCTGTCATACAAAAAGCATGAAATAAAGAAAAGCCTTGGTATATTACATCAAATAAACAAAGACAGAAACTGCAGTCGTTTTAGTATCAATTAACTAGCAAGATTTTTTTGGCCACGTTGATCCAAAATCCTTTATTCATTTTTGAATTCTGTATACCTATATTAATGTAAAATACATACTTTGTTTATAGTGTGACGCTAGGTTAACACATTGTAATTTTTTAGCCATTAAAATGTATCTTTGTTCTGTTTTCTTTTTCAAACAGATTTTACCTGTTGCACACACCAAAGTGGAAGATAATGAGGTAACTATGATGCCATGGATGCATCATTTGATGTTTCTGAAGCACGTTTGATGGTTTTCATTGACCGTTCACAGTTTAACTTTTTTGCAGGAGTTGAGGGAGAGCGTCCAGCTTCTGCTAACAACAAAAATCGCAGTTTACTTAATGACATTCCTCATCGTGACTGTTGCATGGGCCGCTCATATTAGGTAATTTGTTTTACAATTATAATTGTCAGCTATGCTGTTGTCACTGGATCCATGTTATTTTTAGTTTTTTTGTTATTTATTTTCAACAGGTTGTTTCAAGTGATTGTGCGCATCGATGACTGCCTTGCACTTCTGAACCTTGTGAGTGCAGAATTAGCTAATAGTAAACTTCTGTTTAAAAACAAACCTGTAGATAATCTGAAAAAATAAAATAAAAAGGATTACATGGACATTTTATGGTGAGCAGAAATGTAAGTGCGTGTTTGTATCAGATTAGTGAATTTTGGTTCTGAATTAAACAGGTTATTTCTTAAGTTCCTGCTTCTTTCTTTCAAATGTGAACTTCTTGTGGTTTTATTTCAGGCATGCATGATGCTGATAACCTTTCTGCCATACACTGTGAGTATGGCTCTGCTGCGGCACTGTTTGCATGAATAAATGCATCAAAATCCAATTTGATTTATTTTCTCTGTGAAGTTTTCTTTAATGGCCACCTTTCCTGACAACATCCTCGGGATTTTACTTTTCTGTGGTTGTGTGATGGTGATTGGAGTCCTTCAGGTGAGGAATTTCAAAGATTTCCCTTTTTTTCTGTGAGTTCCACCTATACAGATATTTCCACCTTAGTATAACCTGCACAATAACTCTTTATTGTTTTTGTAGTCGGTGATTGTGTTATACGCCTTCAGCCGACCCTTCCTGCTGAACGAACAGGTCCAGATTTCAGAAAATCAAGTTTTCTATAAATGCCACATCCTCAAAGTAATCATGAGGGTTCCCATCATGTGCTTCTTTGCCAGCATCTTCTCCTTCATCTTCTTCCAGCTGGTCAGTGACATCACTTTTTCCTATATTAGTGAATGATTATCAGCTAATTTCTACTTGCTACATCATTTTCTCAATGATCTTGTAATAACCAAAAATGAAAAGCACAATGCAGTTAATAATAAATGTAGTCTTTCCTAAATCTGTGAAACTGCTATGAAAGGTCAGCTTTGTTTCTATTCAAATGTCTCTGAACTAAAAGAAAAATATATTCAATTTGAGTCCAGACTGGACTCTTATAAGATAGTTTAGCTGATTTCGGTTTTGTTCCATAAGAGGTTCTGACAGCTTTTTATATGCTGCTCAAAAACACATAGAGTAGTTTTGAGGTCTTCCTTTCAACAAGAACAAACGTATTCATAAAGAGTATGAAAGAGTTTAGTTTAAACTTTACTTCACTTGCAGGAAATGAAAATGTCTGGTTATGTTTAGGCATTAAACTCCATGGTTGAAATTTGTAAAAGTTATTTGTTGCCATAATGCAAAGACTTTCTCAAAATTACTGTATGTAATTAAAAGTACAAATTTTCCCACTCTGTCTGCAAAGCACTAAAATGTAGTGCAGGTGAGAAAGAAACTGTGAAACTAGTTTGTTGCTGAGAGTTTTTTTTATTTTTTTTATTTAACACTCAATCCAAAAACGACAAAGAATTATAAACCTTTATGCCATCCTGCATTAAAGTGTTGAGGCCTTTTTTAATTTTGTCCTCTAACAATTTGTTTTCTTCGCCAGTCTTATGTCATCTTAGCCATCGTCATCTTCCTGCCTTACATCTCTCAGAGCATCAAGTGGTGTCGTAGCAAAGCAATCGGTAAATACGAGTTACTGAATTTCTGATTCTATCGGATTCACGCATTCTTCTCATCATAAACCACATCTTTATTTCAGGCCAGGTGGAGGAGACTCCAGACTCTTTGTTTTTCTACACCTACCTCCCTAATGAACCCCTCAGCAAGGAACGAGTGGAGGCTTTCAGTGATGGTGTTTATGCCATCGTAGCAACCCTTCTCATCCTGGACATATGGTATGCTGCACTTTTCTTCCTTGAATGGATAGATACAGGATGGCTTTAATGCTGTTTTGTTTTGTTCAGATACATAGCAAATAAAATATTTTTGGGTTTCTTTCTTTCAGCGAGGACAACGTTCCAGACCCGACGGTCGTGCAGAAGCAGTTTGGTGGTAGCCTAATAGCAGCTCTGCAGGTCTACGGCCCCGAATATCTCGCCTACTTTGGTTCCTTTGCTACCGTCGGCCTCCTCTGGTTTGTCCATCACTCACTCTTCCTCCATGTGACGAAGACGACGCGCTTCATGGGTTTGCTAAACACCTTCTCTTTGGCGTTTGTTGGAGGTTTACCTTTAGCCTACCAGCTAACGCACGAGTTCCCACGTGACTCTCAGAACGAACTGGAAGCCATTCAGATCAGCTGTGTCATCATTTTCTTTGCTGGAATCTTTCAGCTCACCATTTGGGTGGTTGCTCTTTACAATGAACGGGAAACCTTGCACCCTTACGTGCGGTACGGTGAACGTGAGCATGTGTTTATGCTAGCTAAACTATCTCTGTACCCCTGTGTTGCTTTGGGGACATTTTTCCTCACGTGCATTTTGAGTAAATTTAGCGCCCCCATCTTCCATTTGATGGAAATTACCGTGCCTTTTGCTTTTCTTGTGCTAAGGCTTTTAGTTCGTATTGGGCTAGCTTTGCTACGGTTAATATTCTGTCCTAACCGGGCTGATCTAAGGACTGTTGTGGAGGAGGAAGTGACCGAAACAAACGTGCCTTTTAGCGCTCTAATTACCTAAAAAATTCATGGAACCAACGGAGATGTGAGGCATTACTGCTGAAAGGCTTGGTCACTGAAAGAGTTATGTCATCAGCCTCTCATCAGGACCTAAATGAAAAGTGATTGACTTAGTTTGCAGCATTTATTTGTTCAAATTTAAGCATAAATCATCACAAATGGGATTAAATACAACCAGCTGTGTTGAAGATGAATGAAGGATCCAATAGGGGGGAAAAAAATCACCCATGTGTTGATAATATGATATGAAGAGCCAAAGCTGAATAATTTCATTCTTTTAACCATTGTTATTTTGATCAGCTAAAGATAAACAGGCTTGTACCTAGATGACAATCAGGACCTTCTATTAACAGCTGCTTTCTTTATTATGCACAGTACAGACGAAGAAGTTCTCACACAGTAACGCAAAGCAACTTATGGAAAAAAAAAAAAATCAAACACGCTGGTGTAAGTCACAGAAGTAAGGTGTACGTTTTGACTAAGTTACCAGCACGCTGATGCCGGACAGAAATTTTGTACATGCACAAAATTTTCAGCGTATGCTGACGTGTTTCTGAAAAGTTAGGCAGAAGTTACAGGTAAGTTATGCACAACTTCATGCATGAGTTACTCATGAGTTTACATAGGTCGGAAACAAGCTGAGCAGTTGTGTAGTGCAGGGGTTCCCAAACTTTTCCATGCCATGCCATGCCCCCCCCCCCCCCCCCCCCCAAAAAAAAAAAAAAACAGCATTAGCTTCAGGCTGAGCCCTCCCTCGCAAACCCACAATGCTACAAAATACGTAAAGAAACATCAACCTTTGGAATGTTTTAACTTTTTTATTCAGTATATTCAGTTAATTATTACAGCTGATGAGCATTAAAACATTAACTAACATGTTTTAAACACTGTATTATATTCCCATTAAAAAAACAACTACTTTTCAACAAACTGTTGACCAGAAGAACAAAACAAATCTTCTTGTTAATCTCTGGAAATGACAGATACAGATTGCCCAAGTGTGCAATTTTTATTATTATTATTATTACCATTTTTTATTTTTGCCTTTTTTTTTTACATTCTTCTCCAGCTTTCTGAGGCCCCCCTAGCACCCCTGGGGGGGCCGCAGCCCCCACTTTGAAAAACACTGGTGTAGTGTACAAGTAAACTATTTCTAATCTATGAGCAACTTACCAGTACTTCTAACATTTCTGTAACATATCAGATGTTTCCAAAACGTATAGTGACATATTCAGCGTATAGCTGATGACCCTAAAACTTACTGAATGGGTTTATAAATTACAGCTAGCACAATTGCCAGCATTTTGGGGTTCAGCCGAATCACAACAGAAGTTGTCTCAGGGCACTGAACAGAAACATTCACGTACATAAAAAGCCAATAAGTAAAACTTGTCTATCTAAGGAAGGAAGCCTTTAGGGTACAAACGATGAGCAGCTCATCACTCCTGCTGGATCAATGAGGTGCAGAGATCCACAACGATCACCACAGAGAGGGAGGATCCTGCTGCAGTTTCCTTGATCACAGATTTGTTTGATTGTCCCTGAGGCATGTTGATTAATGCAAAATTAATGACTGGGAGTGCAGAGAGCTGCCCTTTTCATGACTGATGTCAGGTTTATTGTCGCAATACGCTCCAACATGCTGTGCATAAGTTGGGCACAAAACACTAACGTTGATCATTAGCGCTGCATAAGTCAAAAACGCTGTCAAATGCTTGTTTAAGTTATGTTACGGATTAGGTACTCATGTTAAACATATATTCATTCAACTCGTTAGCAACGTGTAATGTGTGTGTGTGTCCAAAAGGGGCTTCCAATTGATTTTTTTTTATTCAATCTTCAGCCTGTGTTATGGACCAAATTTGTATCTGACAGCATACGTTTTCTAAAATGTTAGTGTTACAGGACGCTTACCTGCTACAGTATTTTATTTGTCCTCCAGTCATCCTGAGAGTTATTTTGTCCTGAGCACATTTAGATCCATCTTAATTGGGATTTTAGAACCAGGAGTTGAAGGCTAAAAGTATTTAGGAGGAGGAAATTTTCTTTTGAGGACTATTAGCAAGTCCAGACGTTTGGGCACGTTAAACTTTGTACTAACTGAGCACATATAACCATACAATTCTGTATTTGCACTATTTTCCTGCCAAATGTGTGTGTAATACCAACAAGATTGTACTCTAACCAGTGCTGTGTTTTTGTGGAAATTCATCACACTGTTTAACACCCATATGTCTGAAAGTAGTAAAAATGTAAATCAGAACCAAATAAAAAGATTTATAATCAGTGAAACCCAATATTTAAACAAAAAACAATCAGAAACGTATAAACTATTTGCGGTTGTATCAGAAATATGATGCTTGCTATTATTAGATTTTTAAGATCTCAAAACGAGACGTGTGTTTAGCAGCACTGTGTTGCATCAACACTAGCCATCAAACTGCAACATGTTTCTCTTTATTTCTTATAGTATAGGTCTGTTGCTTTTTTTTGTTTGTTTTTTGTTTCCTAATGCACTGAAACCTTTTTAAAGAACAAGTTTAAGTTGGCCAGTTTGACTCTAGGAAAACATGTTGGATGCACTTTGGGGTGTTGGTGGCAGAAGATGGTCACTGTTTTTAAAGATGAATACTGAATTTGTCCGTGTGATTTATAATGTTATAAGATGAAGAGACATGTTTTATTACTGACTGGATAAACGTCGAATGTGCACTTTAATTAAAACCTGCTGATTATCCTCATCTTAGTTTTTTTTTGTTTTTTTTTTAATAAATAAATGGGAATAAAACTAGTTGGCAGCAATTGAGAATATTTTATATTTTGGACCTTTTGTTGTTTATGTCGTGTTCATTTATTTGTTTTTGTTTGTTCATTTCATGACTTGTTTTGCTTTGCGTGAGTTTTTTTAATCGTAGTAGGCAACATCTGTTTAACTTAGGAAGGGAACGTTTTTTAATATTCCTTTAAGAAGCGAAAGCCCCAAATGTGTTTCCTGTCCATTAAAAAAAGCTAATTGGTACCAAAATAATCATTTCAAAACAGTGTAATAATTGTAGTGATTGTCTTTCATCGAAAACGGTTGTTTGTTGAATGAAACGGTTGGCAAATATCCGAGAAGTGTTTAAGTGTGAGGCTACTGTACATTAATCCAACAACTGGTTTTTGGTTTTCTTACATCATCCAGAATAAATGTGTTTTTTTATGGCTATGTTGTTATCAATAAACAAGAACATAATAATTTCATTTCAAACTGAACTGAGCTGCTTTAGACTGGTTCCGTTCTTACCTCTCTGACAGGACTTTTTGTGTCAAGGTTGGTGAAAGTCTGTCCACTTCGGTGCCTCTTTCCTGCGGGGTCCCACAGGGCTCGATCCTTGGACCCCTTCTCTTCTCGCTCTATCTGCTCCCACTGGGATCCATCTTAAGAAAACATGCCATCTCATTCCATTGCTATGCCGATGACTGCCAGATCTACCTGCCACTGAAACCAGCCAGTGCTCGTTCCATCCACCCTCTCCTCAAATGTCTAGATGACATTAAGGCATGGATGACTTCAAATTTTCTCAGTTTTAACGACCAGAAAACTGAAGTCATCGTCTTTAGTCCTAGCTCAGCTGCCTCCTCAGATCCTGCAAACCTGGACTCACTTCAGCCCTATCTCAAGCACACTGTTAGAAATCTCGGGGTGGTTTTTGACTCGGATTTTAAGTTTGACAAACAGATCAGTTCAGTTCTGCAGAAAAGTTTTTTCCAACTGCGGCAGGTAGCTAAGCTCAAGCCAGTGTTATCCAGACCCAACCTTGAAACATTAGTCCATGCCTTCATCACAACCCGCCTGGACTATTGTAACTCACTTTATGCTGGGGTCAGTCAGGCGTCCATTTCACGTCTCCAGCTCGTCCAAAATGCAGCTGCTCGGCTTTTAACTGGTACACGTAGGTCTGAGCACATCACACCTGTTCTGTCCTCCCTTCACTGGCTTCCTGTGCGATCCAGAATCGACTTCAAGATTCTCCTCCTGACATATAAGTGCCTAAATGGCCTCGCACCCCTCTACCTCTCTGAGCTCCTGGAACCATATGTTCCGTCTCGGGCCCTGAGATCATCGGACCAGCTTCTTTTGGTCGTTCCAAAATCACGCCTGAAGCTTCGAGGGGATCGAGCTTTTTCAGTCAAAGGTCCCAACCTGTGGAACAACCTGCCCCTCAACATCAGGCAGGCCTCCTCCCTCCTGATGTTCAAATCCCTCCTTAAAACGCACCTGTTTGCTCTGGCGTTTAATACTGTGTGAGTTAGTTTATTTTGTTCTGTGTACCTCATTTTAAATTCTGTTGTTTTATGATTGACGTTTATTTTTACTGCTTGTTTTTCCTTAGTGTGATCATTAGTGTGTGTTATTGCTCCAGTAATTTTAATTCTGTATGATGTTTTTGTTTTGCTGCCTATGTTTTGCTACATTTCTGATAAGCACTTTGATAACAGTTTATCTGTTTTAAATTGTGCTCTACAAATAAAGATGACTTGACTTGACTTGAATTATAAAGCTTATAAAAAGCAGTAAGCAGTAAAGATCGATCAACAGAGGACACCATGTCCTCTGTGGTCCACACTGTGCTCACCCACCTCAAACAGAAGGACTCTTACGTCCGTATGCTCTTTGTGGACTTCACGTCTGCCTTCAACACCATGATCCCCCAAACCTTGATGAACAAACTACTCACAGGAGGACTAAGCCTCTCCATTTGCAACTGGGTCCTAGACTTCTTAACAAACAGACCACAGTCAGTGAGGATCCACAACTTATCCTCTACCATAACCCTCAGCACTGGCTTCCCTCAGGGCTGTGTTGAGCCCCCTTCTGTTCACTCTGCTCACAAATGACTGTACAATATGACAGCCTAGATGGGTAGGTGCAAAGTTTGCAGACGATACAGCGGTGGTGGGATGCATCACAAACAAAATGTCCAGCTACAGGCAAGAGGTGGAACACCTGGAGAGCTGATGCAGGAAGAACAAACACCACCCCCCGAATATAGGAGGATCATCTACTCACAGACTTGTTCGTGCTGCCGTTGTTCGACGTATTGTTTTGCACTATTGGTGGTTAGTTAATATCTTAGATCTTTATTTACGGTTTCTTTTTACACTTTATATTTTTGTTATTGTTGGACAAAACTGGGACCCTGTGCACATAATTTTGTTCCACCTCATGTAGCAGATGTGATGTAAATGACAATAAAACCTACTTGAACTTGATGCAGAAATAAAATTAAAAATGACTAATCACTGCTTCTTTAACAAAAACGAGCAAGTCTGGCTCCTTAAAAAATATCTCAAAGAACATAGAGTTGATTAAAATTAGAAAGTATACATTTTCAGCCTCTTTTGTATACTTTCTTAGCCACGTGTTCTTCTTCTGCCGTCCACAGCTGCCTCAGATTGTTGTCATTTATGATGGTTTTGTCTCCTCACTCCTCCTGGAGATTCATCCATCAATAAATGTACTTTGTTACTCCCAGCCTGGGAAGATTTGTTGCAGCAGTGGATAAAAATGTCAACAGATTAAAATGGCTGCATAAAACAAAACTTTGCCATCATTAAGATTGTGCAAAAAGGAAATACTTTCTTTAATGATTGCTGCAACTGTGGAGTCGTAGAAGTCTATTAGAAAAGCCTCCACTGTTTATCCAGCAGGTGGAGGAAGGATGTCCTGAACAGTATTATAACAATTTATTCAGCATCCTTTCATCCCTTCGTCACTTCAAACTGGTCCAGTCATAGTGGCACCAACCTGCATTATAATTTAATTTAGTGTTGGTGGTGCTGTCTTGGGTGGCGCAACTGGTAGAGCTGCTGCCTCTCAGTGAGCAGGTCCTTGGTTCAAACCCCGGTCCAGGGGCCTTTCTGGGTGGAGTTTGCATGTTCTCTCCGTGCATGCGTGGGTTTTCTTCGGGTACTCCGGTTTCCTCCCACAGACCAAAAACATGCATGTTAGGCTGATTGGTAACTCTAAATTGTCCCTAGGTGTGAGTGAGAGAGTGAATGGTTGTTTGTCTCTATGTGGCCCTGTGATGGACTTGCGACCTGTCCAGGGTGTACCCCGCCCCTCGCACAGTGATTGCTGGACATGGGCACCGGCGACCCCCGTGACCCAAAATGGAATAAACGGGTAAAGATAATGGATGGATGGATGGATGGTGCTGTCTTTGATAATGCTCCTCCAGCACAACAAAAAACAGTGCCCTGCTACAACACATGGAAGAACTGGATTTCCCTCAAGTTTTCTCAGACTCATTTGATGTGACCTCCAGTCCAGTCCATTGTCGACGGCAACACCCAGGTACTATACTCCTCCACTTCTTCCACAATGTACAGGATATAGTCTCTTCTGAACCATTTTCAGCTGTTGAGGTGCTCATTTCCTCTTCCTGAAGTCAATCACCGATATTGATCATATATTTATAGACATTTGCAGGACCCACAAAAAAATAAAAATAATAATTCTGTAACTAAGATATAGTTTAAGAACAGTGGTTCTCTAAATTGTAGCTCCTGAAGACAAGTGACCTGTGATGTACTGCAAATTTAAACCATTAACTAAACATGGGCAAAATTTTAATATTGCAGTATGAACCTTCACAGTAAGCCTTTTAATCATTTGACTGATTTTATCTTTCAAATCTTATGGTACAAGATACCATAAGCTGGCATTTTTGTCTAAAAGTTTATATCTGGAGATTATCTAAGGACACCCACTTGGTGTTTCATGACATTGTAGGATCCCAACACCAACTTTGGGAACTAGAAAATATACGACTAGCTTTGACCACAGCAAGTCCTTATGTATGTACTGGTTTTCAGTCTTCATGATAACCTGTCAAGTCAATGTCAGATGTATTTCCCCCATTGACTCAATAGCCTAAAAAGAAGCATAGAGCTACTTAAATTGTGTGCGCTTGTTTATATTACACTACATTGTGAGGACCAAAGCCTGGTTGTACAAGTGTCATTGATGGGTTAGAGGTTAGGTTTGGGACTAATGTCTGAACTGAGGATGGGTTAGTTAGGTATGTACTGGTAATGGTTAGGTTTAGGCTATAAAATGAATGAAAAAAATGAATGGAGGCCAATGCAAAGTCCCCGTAAAGATCGAAAGACAAACGTGTGTGTGTGTGTGTGTGTGTGTGTGTGTGTGTGTGTGCTTTGACAAAAAATGAGCTAAAATGCAGTTTAACTTTTTATTTGATTCTTCAAGTTACATGTATAATGTTAATAAATGACACTTTAATATACAACCCTTCAACTCCTGTACCAAGAGGAAAATCTCTTCCACCCACACTTTTAAAATAAAGCTTAAAAAAAAAAAAAAAAAAAATTCAAACATCTGAAGAATTAGTGTGCATCCATAGAACAACCAAATAAACATAGGCAAGGCCAAGAAGTGCAATGCAATATTGGGTTTAGGCAACTACGAAGCAAAGACGAGATATCACAGATCGTACAGCTGGGTAAAAAAAAAAAAACAGAAAAATTCTCCTCAGTGATATTTGTACGATTACTCTGAAGTTTGTGTTAAATTTGACAAGATTTCATAAAGCTTTTGAGGTCCATCGGTTTATGTCAGTTAACAGTGAACGTAGAGTTGAATGAGTCTAGTTTTTACTAAATGCTATGAGGGGTTCGTCTTGGCAAATCTGATAAACTGTACATTCATACAGTTGTGACTATCCTTTGCACTGATACTGTGGAGTACAGAAAGGAAAGTCACTTAGCTTAACCCTCCTGTTGCCCTTGGGTCAAAATGAGCCACAAGGCCTCAGTTTTAAAACTGAGGATTAAACTGAGGTTAAAGAAGAGTCAGTGTTGAGTCTTATGCAGTCAAAGCATGACACAGATATAGGTAATAATCCAAGAGATGCCTCCCTTCATCTCTCAGTCCCTGGTGGAGCTGGTTTCAGTGATGTTTGTTTCAGAAGCTGGTATAACTACAACACAAAAGAGATGGCATGTAAAACGACAGCCTTTGCCCCATGAAGCAACCCAATTCGCCTCCCATTTGTCCTCTCATGCAGCTAACGGTTGTGCAGAATGTGGAGGGGAACAGTATGAAATCTGACAGGTAAGTCCTCAGTACGGCTGCTGAGGTGCGGCCTCGCGCTGGTGTCAAGATGTCACATTTGATGGAAGATCGCTGCGATGTCTGAGGCGACTATGTGTAGAATATGACCTCGGGAATCTGTCCGTCCTCTACTGAAGTGCCGTTGTTGTTTCCTGCTGCGTAGCAGAAAGTGAAACAGGTCTTTGTGCCAGTGGATGACGACTCATGGGTTACCTTTCGCATTCCCTTGGTCCCATAATGGGAGTCTGGACCCTGTAAGACACGCACAATAAATACACAAGCCCAAACGCACAGTATTTCCCCCGTGTTGATCTTTTCCATGTCATTACAGACCTTGAGAGTAGCACAGGCTGTGTAGTTGACATTGGGTAGAATCTCCACTGGCTCTTTAAACATAACTCTGAAAGTGTTTGCCGAGCCATCACAACTGAAGCCTGTGTCATTCTGCCCCAGCACCGTGTTACTGTCTGTATGAATTATCTACAACAAGCACAAATCCAAGATGCAGTGAAACCACAAACAAAATGATTTGCAACAAATACACACTGAAAGGAGCTTAGAATACAGGAGTACCTGTAAGTTGACTTGGTAATCTGTAGGTCCATGTATGGAGCCATAGAGTCCAAATCCAACCACAAATATCCTTCTGTTTACAGAGAACCTGTGAATAACAATGTTCAGATGACAAAATCTGTTTGTACAATTTACTGGGGTGATGCTAAAATTGAATATTTGGAACAAAAAGCCATGAAAGCCAGCGATTTTTATTATTATTATTACAAATGGTCATTTTATTACAAGTTCTGCTTGCAAGTCATGGAGCCTGATATTCTTATGGATGGAACTTGGACACATTCACAACCCAAGCCAGTACACAGTCTGAAGCTCATTTTTGACAGTTCTCAACTATGACCTCAAATTCAGCAATTAATGTCCAACTATAACATTTGGAAAGTATTTCATGTTTTGTTTTTGCAAATAAATATTTAATATACATGAAAACAGTTACCTTGTGCAACATGCATTTCTCTCGTTCACAACAATGTCCATCATGAAGGTTCTCTGCATTTTACCAACTGTTTATTTTCTAACAGACTTGCCCCCCCCCCCCCCCCCCAAACTGAGCACATTTCACTCTCAGCAGCTGGTGGCTCGCAACAGGAATTTATACAATTATCAATTCATAAAGTAGATTTTAATCATATATTTAAAGCTTGTTTGATGTGGGAATTTGTATAGAATAAAAATGTGTTGAGTGAAAAGAGTTTGATTAAAAAATTAAGCTTTTTTTTTTACTTGATGTGCTGTTCATACTAAAACTTACACACCTCATTCAGGCTCATGCATTAAGTTAAACATATTTAATATGACGTCCTGGTACTAAATTAGGTCTTGTGGTATAAAAAGACAAGACTGTGTGTCCGTTGTGTTTCTTACCGTATGCGGTCGCTCGTCCCACTGTAGCCCCAGCGGCTCTCCACCTGACCAAACCGGGTGATGCTGCACTCCTTTCCACGGAGACAGCAGCGAGGACGGTCAATGAAATCTACGCGAGGCTTTGGGTTTACCGTAAAGTGGAGGAAGAGACTCACCACCTCTCTGTCAGTTAGAATATTAGACTGAGCTGGACCTGAAGGATCAGGGAAGAACAGAACTTAAGAAAAACACAACTACATAATAGGTTCAGAAGCAGCCAGAACAGCTATGGTGCATCCTTTTTTTTTTACCTGCAGCAAACTCCTCAATGGTCATGAGAGGGAAGCGGATGAGCGTGAGAGCTTTTCCCAGGACTTTACGCATGTTCTCAGGTGTGGGCTGCAGCTGCTGCCTGCGGGCCTCGGCATCAGCCCAACGCACTGCAGCTCCAAACAAACGCACCTCTCTGACCCCAAGAGTGTCCCTCTCTAGCACTGCCACCAACGTATCTAATAAACAGAGAGGAAAACAATCAGTACATAAACCATAATTCTTAAATTCAACATGTATTGGGACATTTACAGAGACACTACCTAGATCGATGTCTGTGAATCCCTCAGCAGCAAGAGCATCTCCAGTGTTCTTGTCTATGTTTTCTAAACAGAGGCTGGCGAGTTGCGGCTCATCAAACAATCGTGCCTGAAACAATGATTACAGCAAACACTTTTAGTAGACTGCTGAGTAAAACTTATACTTTAATGATTGAAAGTGTCATTTGAAATGTCTTGCTGTGCATATTAATGCAAGTAGGTGACATTAAAAGTAGTGTTATATAATAAAACGTGTGGACTTTCAAGCTTTCAACTTGAGAAAGGCTTGAAACACCACTCTCTCCAGTTTCAAAGTGATAAAGCTCCCAGGATGGGAATCCAAACCTCTTCATCTCCAGAACAGAAATCTATTTTTTTGTACTTTTTGTTAATTTTATTTTTGGGGCCTTTTCTAAAGAAAACTTTTAACACACTGTACTTTGTGACAAGACGCATTATCATAATAAAAACAGACTTCTTTCCACAAAAATGTAAGGCAATCGTCGTGTATTTATTACAGAGGCAACCTCTCCCATAGTCCTTTACTCCTGTTGCCTTTGTATAATCAACAATAGAAACTTGGTCTCACCCCCTTCAGCCAGTTACTTACAAGTTGTATTGGACCGGCACAAACATCACAGTTCATTACTGATCCTCTTTAGATTAATGTGATCCCACTTTCCTTTTAATTCAGGTTTGGTCTTATCGTTTTGTAATATTCATCCCTTCATTTTTTCCAGATGTTTTGGAAATACACATTATAAAATGATTCATTTTTTTATACCTACATGACTGTTTCCATACTTTTTCTATGTGATCTAAAAAAGTCAACGTTTTGTAAATAGTGCAGCGTGTCATTTGACAAATTTCAACAATTGGGGCAGCAAGAAGCTGTCATGGCAAGACGTTGACATTTAAACATTTGAACAGGCGCACTCTGAGAAGCGTTGAAAAGTAATTCATAAGCAATTAAAATAAATAGAGGGCGACCTTCATATGTGGGGGCTCACCTGTGTAAGCAGCATGAAAGCATTGTCTGCTCTGAGGTTTTTCTTGAGGAACTCCACACAGTGAGCCTCCAAGGCAGGGACTGCGTACTTCTTAGCTGTATAAAGTGTGGTCATCACAGTCTCAGGCCCAATCTGGACCTCATCAGAATACAGGAACCTGCAGGAAATTACGGAAATAATGTCATTTTATATTTTAGGTGAAATATTCTTTAGTGAGTGATAAACACAAGCCCTCCGACCAGGTAAATAAAGATGAATTGCTCTCGGTTTCTTACTTCAGCAGGGCCAGAAAGGCTGCTGGTTCCACATCCGGAAGCTCAATTTCTGTAGAAGTGGTCGCCATGCCACCGTTGAACATGGCATCAAACACTGCGCTCCCCACAGCCAGCACAAACCTGGTGGAAACAAAAGAAAGGGGGGAGGGTTAGCTCGTTGTTCTACACAGAACGGTTTGTGGTGCAGGTAACTGCCTCACCTGTGAGCTGGTATTCTCTGAACACCCATCCCTTTGCCCACCAAGAAGTGAACGTCGCTGAGCACCTCGTTGTTGAAGAGGAAGGCGAACCTTTCCTTCACCGTGCTCTTCGTCGCCTGCCAGTTGTACACCGGCTCTCGGTACACCAGCACGGACGCGGCAGCCGGGGCAGCGGTCGGTGCCGTCGCCGGGGAGGCGTTCGACGCCGCGGTGGCTGTCATGTTGGACGCCGGGGAGGCCATGGCTCCGACTGCCGCAGCGGACGGCTGCAAAGGGTTCTGCGCAGCGGCCGTCGGAGCTCCGCTCGACACGCCGCCGTCTCCTCCGACAGGCCCCAGCTGCGGGTTGGGGCGCCTAGCTGCTCCCTGCGCTCCGCCGGCTGCACCCACCGCTCCTCCGTTGGAGGCTGGCATTGAGAAAACGCTGTTGCTGGGCTGGCTGTTCCCCAAAGGCCCCGAGCCGGAGAAACTGAGGCAAGGAGGCCTGCCGCTGTTGTCTCCAGCGGACATCTTGAATCTAGCGTAGGCGTCAATAACAAACTTAAACGCTTTCTGCATTTCCTGTAGTCTAGACTGTCATGTCTGCTTTTTGTTGCCCCCTGGTGGTTGTTATTGGTACTACAGGCTGCTCTCCCTGTGAACGTTCAGGAAACACCACAAAATCATACATGATGAGCTAAAATACTATACAAAACATGATATGCTCAATATTAAATGAGGGAGGAAGAGCATAATTTCAGTTTTAAGTATAAATATACATGTTGCTTTCAAAACTATAATAGTTGCTCCTGTAAGGAACACCTTGCAAAAAGATCTGAAGCTCTCAACTTTTTTTTCATTCAACATTTATTTATACAAAAAACGTCTATGCTCAATAATCCAGGTATACAATCCAACAATTTTCAGTCAGGTCATCTGGACAGTTTCTTTTTTTGCTGAAACATTTCACCTTCTATCCGGAAGGCTTCATGAGTCAAGGAAACACACAAAGAAACTGATTTTTCCCCCAAACAGCTTACTCCAACTTGGAACAAACCAGTTATGTTGGTGCTAAGATGGTGTCTTTGGCATGCCCCCTCCTCTTGTGCTGGCCCTCTTCCTCGTCGACAGTCATGTCAAACTGGTTCAAAACCAATAATCCAGGTATAAAATCCAATACAGTTTAATCCCATAGAGCCTTGGGGACTCATTTACAAGAGAGATCTGAATTTTTTTAACAAAGAGCAATGACAACAATGGACAACAATACACAATAATAAACGGTGCATACAAATTAAACTTTTTAACAAGTTAAAATAAAAACGGCAACCAAAAGGACAGTCAAAAGGAAAAGTAGCAAAAAAAGCAGCTAGATTGTAAGGCAGCATAGAAAACTAAAACAGGAATGTGCCTGATTTGGTTCTTGCCAGGACCTTAACAGATGTTAAAAGTCAGAGATTCTTTATTGTCATTCGCACCTCATGTAGTACATGTGGTGGAGCGAAATTATGTACACAGGGTCCCAGTTACATCCAACAATAAAATGTATAAGAAAAACAGTAATAACATCTAAGATATGAACTAAGAAAAACATCAACTAAATATACACTAAGCACTCATAACATAAAACATTGAACATCAGCACAAACATGAACATGAGTCTCTGTGAGCGGATGTGCACGCATGAACACATCAACATTGAAATAAATCAGCAGCGACATTGAAACAGATCAGCAGCAACATGATATGATTTTCACAGTGATTATTCTGGTTAGATATACATGAGTCTAACAGCCTCAGGGTAGAAGCTGTTCCTCAGTCTATTGGTTCTACACTTAATGCTCCTCAACCTCCTTCCTGAGGGGAGTGGGGCAAAAAGTGTGTGCTGGGTGAGTGAGGTCCTTCATGATGCAGGTGGCCCTCTTCCTGCATTTGGAGGTGTAGATGTCTGTGATGGTGGGGAGACTGACTCCGACAGACTTCTGTGCAGCCTTCACCACTCTCTGCAGAGCTTTTCTTTCTGCAGCTGTGCAGCCTCCATGCCACACGTTGATGCCAGCACAAATGATTTTAGATTTAACCATCAGAAGTGCAGTATCTGTCATTTCCCAAAGTGTGTTAGGACTCACTCTTGTGTCTGTGGCACAAGTTGTTGGGTATTTAATTGACACACATATTAACTTTAAAAAAAAAAAACATAAAATTATATGAATATGCTCTGTTACACATCTATTCTATTGTTGTCATCACGGATGTATGGACAGTACATATTTGTGCCTAAGCATTTGAACTGATCTGGTAGCGTTTCAGTTTATTTGTTGTAACCTGAATAAAGGTTTTTGTCTTTTTTTGTTCGTTTTTTAGCCAACCGAAGATCCAGCTGTGTACCTCCAGAGGAGATCTTTCTACAGCCCTGTTTTGGTCTTGGATGAGTCTTGCTGTCTTTTGGCCATTGGAACCACTCCCTTCACCACATTTGCCAAAGAAGACCTTGGTGAAGGTTTGCTGTATCTGATGGCATACTACTACACCATGCATCTCACTACTACACCATGCATCTCACTACTA